GTCTTGTTTTCTATTGAAATATCACAAAAATTTCTGATATTTAAAACATGATAGCTAATTTGTAAAAGCCTCTGTAACATTTATGATTCACAGCTATTAGCATATAATTTGACACTCCAATTAATGTATGTCTGGATTAGCAGCAGATAGGATACATATCTCCTTTAAACACTTGAGATGCGTTTTCCAATATGTGTACTTTGACTCCCGTTTAATGATGCACTTTTTTCTGTGATGACGAGATCACACAGGAAAATGTTGAACGAAAATTAGCATTAGTGGCTTTTACGTACGGTGACGGTAGCCTACTTTGTAATATTGGAAAGTCTGTGCAAAATTTATTGAATAAATATTAATATACTACAATGCCTCCAATACGCTAAGTTATTAATTAAGTCCAGTATAAAGACAGCAAATAATTGAGAGAGATAATTATTTTTGTCAAACCGGAAAACAAACTTGTATACAAAATTAGGATTCAAAGTTTTCGGTGTGTAACCGGGTGGTAACAGTGCTACCCTTACTATCCTTCTCCAGCTTTGTCGAGGAATATTTTGCATTTTGACCATTACGCTTCTGCTGCTGGATGCAAGAGTAACCACAATGCGCTTTTTTCACAACAAAGAGAAAAAGGACAAAGTTAGCATAGAAAGCAATAACTAAAAGCTCATGCGCCCCCGTGGACCCCTAAGGGGTACGCAGAACCCAGAGAATTCCTCATTTTTGAGCTTCCATGGGCATTTGATTTCTATAACACCTGGCTGATAGTAGAAGCGTTAGTATTTATACACCATCTGGTGAACAACCAAGATAGCCATTCGGAAAGAAAACCAGCACCACTGGATGTACAGTATTTCCATTAATTCCCTTGTAGGCTTGAATTTCAGTTTCTTCATGCATTTGCTCTCGCCAGTATCTGGCGTTGAATGAGGCTCAGATCCCATTATCCACATTGAAGGGCAGTGATATTCGAGTGAAAGTAAGTTTTGCGAAAAAAAAATATTTTTGTAGGAATCGTTTGGTTTGCGCGATAGTGCCGAATATGAGCTGTTGCTATGTGAAAATATTTCTGACAGAGGCTTCAGCTTTTTTTTGTCTCCCTTCTTAGGATGTGCGATTCACGAGATTGGAAGGTCTGTTTTTGACATCCCTTTTTTGTTCACATGATTGCTACAGCAGCCATGTGACTGCAAACTAGAGCTCGACCGATATCACTTTTTGGCACCGATAACGATATATCGGCCAACTAGTGACCGATAACCGATATCGACATACCGATATCTACAACCTGAACTCGCAGTAAATACAAATAGAAAGAAAAATTCAGTTTCAGTCAATCAAAAGTTTATGTTGAAAAATAAAGCAGTCCTACACAGTGCTCGCATCATTGATAAAAGTTTCACAGCAAATAATAAGAACACACATTAATGCACAAAACAGAAGGCAATGTTTGAAAAAACCCAGCACAAAAGAAAAAAGGCATTCAGTAAAAAGCTTATGGAAGTCCATTTTTATCCATACGGTAGTAGGTGGGAGTAGGCTTGCACTTAATTTACGGAATTATTTCGAGTTGCTGAAGGGAAGTTATAATTACATAAAGTCGTAATTATTGGTCGAGCACTTTCGCGTTTGAAACGTGCTCCTTCAAAGCAGTCAATTCCGTCGATTGTAAAAAATGAAAGTTTAACAAGTAGAAGAAGTTAGAGTTCCGGTATTCGCAGCCGTTTTTCTCTCTCTTGTTACGCAGGTGGGGAAGGCATGACGCGTTGCCACCCCGTTTGAGCGTTTGGTTTCACGGTCAAAACGATATTATTATGAGCGTTATCACCGTAACGCAATTAACACCGACAGACTTTTTTGTCTGCACGATTTGGTATCTTTTTTATTTGGCGCTGATAATGACAAATAAGAATGCGTGATAGTTGATTGTAATTCTGGAAGGCGTGTTTTTCTTTCTCTCGGTGAAACAGACATGAAACGAATTTTACCGCCGATATGGACGCTCAAGAGGAGAGAAGGCTACTTTCTTTTCCCGACTGCGCATTAAAAAACAAAATAGAATTTATTAGCATTAATTTACAACGAGTTACGGGTAAGCATTTACCGCCGGCTAAATAATTAATATTTGATATAAATTTATCGCAAATAATGTTATAACATTTAGGCCGCGAAATGATTTGATATAAAATGAAGCTTGGTAATCGGAATATTGTCAATAATTCAGCATAAATAATTATTATAAAATGCTAACTAGATAGCAAAGTCGGATAATGTAAAAAAACGGAGCAATAACAAGTCTTCGTCGCGAGGCAAGCGCAGGTGTAATCATACGATAGAATACGCTTGTCGTTGATTAATAACTTAGAAACCCGAAATTTTCATTCAATACGAAAGTCGATTTTAAAAAAGGCAACTATCGTTTCATAAATATCCGTATACCAGTGTCGGTAATGATAAAATTGATCGCATAAAATTGGGACGGGTAATTCGCGAAGGTGATAAAGGACAATCAAAGCCAACACAAAAGATAAAAATCAGAATAAATTTAATTTGAATTCACTCCTTGGTATTTGTCTTTAACATCTGTCGCCGGCGTATAGTACTATCGGTAATATGAAAACCAAACTTCGATGTCCCATTCGGAAAAGAAGTGGATTCAAATGGTTTTTATGATAGGTTTAAATGTGTGAAAAAATATCGCAATTACGGGGTCATTACGTAATCAATTTTGCCGTAATTACGGAATTGATTTTTGTCGATTACGAGCAAGCCTAGTGTGGAAGCAAGATATTCGAAGGCGAGGATTTTGCGCCGCACGAAGAGATAGGAGAGAGAGAGAAATAAGAAGAGAACTCTCTGTTTATTAAAAGCCAAAATGAGAGAAGCGAAAAGAAGGAAACGCTCGGCCGCAGATATTTCCCGGGGAAAAATACTCATTTTTTAGAACGTGGAAAAGCGACTAACGTTGATATATATCGGCCAGATATATCGGCCGGTTGGGCTGATATGATATATCGGCAAACACGCAATATCGGCCCGATATATCGGTTGGCCGATATATCGGTCGAGCTCTACTGCAAACCCAGTTTTTTTGTGGGCACTCGCAGTTTGCACTTTTGATCCCACCAGAAGAACCATCCACCTTAACATTTAGGGTGGAGATCAAAAACCTCACTTAACTTAAACCTAGATTAAGACTAATCTCGGATTAGGTGAACTCGGTTTAACTTCGAAAGTTAACCGTAGATCAAAAACCTAGTTTAGCGGTTACTTAACTAATCCTAGTTTAAGTCGGACGCCACGAGGCATTTCACCGAAACGTCGTGGCATGTTGCTCTTTGACCCTGTATTTCCATGGTGATGGCTTCGTGAACTGTCGTCTGCGACCCAAAGAGGTTATATAGTCGCTTTGCTACAGCTGAAGAGAGCCGATTAAGGAGTGTTTTTTTCAGCTACAGAACAGATCGCGCTAAAATAGGTATAAAGAAGGTCTGTACTTCAGGCAGGCGCGATCCTAAAACCTGTAAGACATGCAAACCTGCGTTTAAATATAAACGATATAAAATCGCCCATGAATGTTACTTTCTCTATTGCATTATTTTTACTAATTCAGTTTAGTAATGTTTTTTCACTTGTGTGAGTGAACAGGCACAAGCCTTTTTCTCGTGGTCCATGTCGGTGTTTCTTTTATTTTTATTCATGTTCTGTGTTGTAGACGTAAGAGCAAAATAAAATTATAATTGTACAAAATGGACGTAATTGATATTTTGGAAATGATAGACAGTGAGGAATTAGGCGAGGAGAGACAAGTGATTTCAAGGTCATATTTGAGAGACGTACAAGACCCATTCCAATTACTTAACGAGAATGAGTTTACACAACGGTACAGGTTTTCGAAAGACAGCGTGCTTATTTTACTCGATATTATAAAAAATGATACTGGAATGGTTGTCCGCAAGCATTCCCTCCCACCAATTCTTCAACTTCTCACCGCACTGCGTTTTTTCGCTTTGTGGTCATTTTCAGATGACAGATGGCGACCTGATGGGAATGAGTCGACATACTGCTCGAGATCTATCCATAGAGTTGCGACTTGTTTTGCCAAGCAGAAACGTAAATTTTATTGATTTTTTTGGGTCAAGATCTTTCCAAAGTTAAGCAAAATTTTTTCAATGTGGCTGGCTTTCCATCTGTCATTGGGGCGATTGACTGCACGCACGTGTCAATTCAGTCGCCAGGGGGTGAAGATGCAGAGGTGTTTCGTAACAGAAAAGGGTATTTTTCCATAAATGTACAGGCGATTTGCGATGCAACCGAGTGATTACTAATATTGTGGCAAGGATGGCCTGGATCCACTCATGACTCTAGGATTTTTGCCAACAGCATCATCCACGATAAATTAGAGAGAAATGAAGTTGATGGATATTTGTTGGGGGATAATGGCTACCCTTGTAAACCATATTTGTTTACCCCTCTCCTAAACCCTACAAGTGGCCAAAGAAAATCGCTACAACAAGGCGCACATCCACACCAGAGCTAGGATTGAGCAGTGTTTTCGGTTATTCTGAAACAAAGATTTAGAGTCTTGCAGAGTAAAATGAGGACAAGGCTGGACAACACCCTAACCATTATAGTGGCAGTTGCTTGCTTGCACAATTTTGCCATGAAAACAAATCAGCCATTAGAACACGATCTTGCCATAGCTACAAGCGATGACACAGAACCAAGTCAACAAATACAGTCTTCCCAAGCAGGTCATCTTGCACGTGCAAACATTTATTGACCAATACTTTTGATCTGTAGCTAGCTTAGCTTATAATAGGTAACATAAAAGGTGTTTCAAAAGTAAGTTATACATTTTTTATTTCGATTTTCTTTTTAGGTACTCCTCATAGAGCGTTCATTTCATCAGTAAACATAGTTATGGATAAGTAGTAAATTTAGGTATTGTTTGCATATTTATCAACACACAGAATGACAATACGGTAGATTAACCGAAGGATTGAGGTGCAAACCTGCTGTTTGGCATATAAATCAGTTAGGCAAACTCAGCACCTCTTCAGCGAAGAATTTAGAAATAAATTCGGCTCAGAATGTTTTCCTCGGAGCGTCCACTCCTTGGTCTTCCTGATCTTTGTGCATCAACTACAAATCCAGTTTTCATAAATTTACAACAAATCGCATAAAATATTTGTGTTGAAGGAGATCAATAATTCCAAATTATCTGTTGAAGAGGCGCCGACTACGAATTACTAATTTATATGCTTCTTGCAAAACAGCAATTTTGAACCTCATTTCTTGGGTTAAGTCTCCTTGTTGTAATTCCGTGGGTTAATAAAATGCAAACATACCTGTATTTTTCTACTTATCCATACTATGTTTCGTGAAGGAATCAACGCTCTATGAGGAGTACCTGAAAAGCAAATCAAAATTGAAAGTTTATACTTATTTTAAGATACCTATTTTTTCATTGTGTACATGGTGTTGTTTTTAGTTATCCACCAGTTTGCACGTTCTCAGTTCATGTTTATTAAATATTTTGTCAAGTTTGTTCTGTTACCCAGCTTTTTTTCTAAATTTATGATTTCTTTCGTAATTTCCGAGGTATAGTTCAAGTCGATTTCACAATTTAGCCCCATATGTAATTGCGCAGCCAAAGCACTTCAAAAATCAGATTATGTCACTATAGCATGTCAAAAAGCAAACCTTAAACACATCAATATTTGGAGGCCAGTTGTATCTAATCAGTAATACCTATGTCGCAAGAAACGCGACATCTATTGGGGTCCTGCAACGGTCCTACCTTAATATTGATGACAGTTTTAGATTATGACGAGAAGCCGAAACACTGTGGGATCCAAATTCATAAAAACTAGAAGGACGCAAAGTATGGGAAAACATATATCTCAGTACATCCACCAAAATAATTAACAATCTTGTATCAATCTTGTTTTAATTAACCATTTTGCAACAAAAACAAATAAAACAATAAAATCCTTCATTCTAACTTAGCTATTTTTTTACGGTAATACTCCATTTTTATATCATGCTCTTCCCTTCTCATTTCCTCTCCTCCGCCATTGCCTCCAACTTCTCTGTCAACACCCTTCTTCTCAAATCATCCATTGTGCTGCTACACTGTCTATCTAGATTAATGTTATGTTGCTACAACTAATATTTGCTGCCATTACGTGATATAAAAACTAAAACTGCTTTCATTTTAATGCCTACCTGCCTTTAGGTCTGTACTAATATTCACAATAACAAAAGCTCAAATTAAATACTGCTTAAATTTTAAATACTACCGCTGTTCTGTTTATCTGAGTACATTGTAAAGTTGCTACTGCTGCGCTACTTAATCATGGGGTGATTTTGAAACATACATTGCAAAGCCGTGAACCTCCTAAACATGTGGAATAAACTATAGACAAGATCTGAACAAACAGCGATAGCCTGTTGTGGGAATATGTTTGAATCTGGAAGCAATTATCACTAGATTACCTGTACTCAATGTCTGCAAAACTGCTGATTCGTTACCTGAAAACAGAAATCGAATTAAATACATTTCAATGTACTAGACCTCAAACTGTTAGTCAACTGTCAAAATTCAGTACCAAAAATCGCTTTTCTGCAATGAGACATGATATGAGTGCTCCATGAGTAAAGCTTTAAGTTATAAAGTAGCAAGAGCAAGTTTCTCATTCATGCAGATATTGATTGAATGACCCACAAGTCTTCGTTCATAATAAAATTTTAACCCATTCATAAAAAAGGTTTGCCATCATAGTTCATTACACTTTGTCAAATCCAGCTTTGTCTGATATGGAGTATCTGAGTAATCTTTTTTTAATTGAACTTACCATCTGAGAAAGATGAAGATTCCTCAGCTACTGAAACAAGTGTGTCTGAAAAAAATGGGAATTCTGATCAACCATGTCATCAGTTAAGCTGCAGATAGTGATGAAACAAATGAAGAATTAGTTTTAGGCGATGAATATATGTGTATTGCATGTATTATTACAAAATGATTTTATATCTGCTCATTAAGATTCCATTACATTTGCACCCACAGACATTTACACCCCGTAATTTGAACCCACGACAATTCAGCTGCATACTATTGCACTTATGGAAATTAGTTTTCTTTTACGGATATTTGAACTCATACTAACCCTAACCCATGGGTTATAGCACCCGCATATAGATTGAACTTGTGGATTTACGGGTGCAAATGTACGGTCACCGCTCATTAATATTGTAAAAGGCTGGTTGATAAAATTATGAATACCAGTATTATTAAATTTATGTGAAAGCTATAAATACCGAATCCTCTGTAATAAGTCGTTAAATTTGCACACGTACGCGAATACATTTCATGAATACAGGAGAAGAAAGCAAAACTGGTATTTCTGGGTTAGAAGAAGCATGAAAAACCACTATATTGTGGTGCCACATCACTTTAATGCCACCAATTACAAGCAGTAAATGCTGTTAATAACATACATGTTTGTTCTTCGAGCGAGCTTTCAATTTGATTGTCATCATCTAAGTTGTTCGCAAGGCAATTTATTTGTCTAGGAATGAGAGCTGAAAAAAAAAGGTGAAAATTAACATTTCAATACCAAATAGAGACAATTACTACGATTATTTACATATCCTAAATCAGGGGTTCTCAAACTTTTGGTGTTGCGGAGCCCGTGAAGATGTTGACTATTATTCAAGGAGCCCTAAAATGAATTTTAAAATTGTTACTTAACGATTAATACTACTGAGTAAGTTAAAGGTACTTTACTTTTTTAATGCTAAACCTTTTTTAGGGTTAATACAATTCATAAATAAATCTAAATTTCAAAGATAAATCATATATATTAAGGCTGTAAATTTGACACTTGACAAACATATTAATAAATTAGGGGTCGAATCTTTTTCCTTTTGATATTTTTGGAAGACTTAAAGGTTGATGCGCGATTGCATTTTGGTACAATCGCCGACTGTTTTCGTCAGCGAGAAACGTTATACCTTATTAAACATCTTTACGTCGGTGTTTATTTTCCCTAAATCAAAAATTTCCTCCGGCATATACATGTATTGTTCCACAATGACGACGATAATTGCTTTTTTGTTCTCGTGGGGAATTATAAAATCGATGTGAAAAACATGTTAATATATTATAGTCATCGGCGACGAGATGCTAAATATAATTATTAACGAATCGGCGGTAAATCCGCAACTCAAAGTTCTTGATTGAAAAGCGGCATTATGAAATATTAAAACTAAAACCGAAGATAACACTATAAATATTGTTTCAGCAGACTCACGACAGATTCAAAACGCTTTTTTAGACATTGCAAATGACAATATATATTTGATGTTATCTTAGGTTTTCTTTGGTTATTTATCGTAGTAACTGAAATCGAAACCCATTCTGAAACTACCAACGGAGAAGCATGCGATAACATAAATTGCAATCGTTTGTATTTTGCCTACACCTTGTGATTTTTTAAACGATGATCGGGTGATATCTTGCAAAATTTTTTACTTAATCGCGAATAATGTTGCGCGGAAATTTCCGATTCCAATTTTGATCCCCCCTCTCCCTTAAGAATTCTGGCTGCGCTCCTGCTTATAAATAATGTAAATCTCGAATTCCGCCACTTTGTCATATTTCGAGGCTATACTGTTGCCAAATTTTATTAAAGCTGTTATTGCTTCTTTGGACAGTTACAAAATTAGCCAAGTCAGTCTTTTGAAAACTAATCAAATAGCTCGCGGAGCCCCTAGGCTTCTCTCGCGGAGCCCTGGGGCTCCGTACGGAGCACTTTGAGAACCTATGTCCTAAATAATCAGTATGTGAATTCCATAATATGTATTCATAATAACACACTTCATATGTTGCATTACTTTGCGTACGCCATATTTGGAACACACCTACAGCAAATAACATACCCTCAACTTTCTCGCTGAGTTCATCGGTGGGTACACCAGGCCCACCTCCTGTCTGCCTCAAATGGCGTTTGCGTTGGGCATTGTCTTGCTTTGCTTTGTTTTTGATGTTTTTCCACGCATCCTTCAGATTTTTTTCAGTTCGGCGACACAAGGTGCCAGTTGCATTGAATTTGGCTTCGATTTGCTTCCAAGCCAAATTCTTTTGCACAACTGACACCTTGTCCGTTCTTTTTGACTCCACTTGGGGATGTTCGCTAATTATCTGGACAAGGAGCTGCTTTTCGCTATTGACAAAATTCGCTGACCTAGCCATTACTTTACTGCTTTATGGATAAATTATCGATTATTAGACACTGTAATGAATACAGGAATAAGAATATTATTTTCTGTATTTTGATAAACTATACCGGTACTGGTACAACTGTACAACCTAAGCCAAAATGAATCTTCAAAAAAACTGCTACAAAAATAAAGAAACACAATAGGCTACTTATACAAATACAAAAATATATTAATACGCCAAGAACGGTACCGTACCGAACGTCGTCTATTTACCTACCTTACTGGTTTTGTTATAGTAGTATAGCCCAATTCCACGTTGTAAAAAATTTTGTTCGGCTATAGTACAGTAGTACGTACCGACTGTACGGTACCAGTACAGCCGCAGTCTACAGCAGTTACGGTACCGGTACCACCGCAAATGCTGCATATCGCAGCCTCGTAGTACCAATATACAATTATTTTTTCGTCGTGACGCTTGCACAGAGTTCCCTGCTACACATTCTGTCGCCACTGAATACAATATAGATTGTACGGTAAGGTAAGCCATCCAACACGACAAGCGCCGCAATCCAAAAGCACTCGACAAGCCGAGTTAAACCACCTCCAGACCAGGTTTAAATAAGCGCCGATTTTAAGTCGAGATTTACGTCACAGAAAGTTAAACCACCTTTTTGATCCGGACTTAAACCGCCGATTCAAAGTTAAACTCCGATTTGAGGTTAAACTACCTTTTTGATCTCCACCCTTACTTTGTAAGTTTTATCTATCATTGAAGCTCTTACTTACTGGCAGTTGTGACGAAATCTTTTGTTCCAAGGTCCAAAACAAAATTTGACTTAAACTTAAGTTCCCCTTTTTTATTGAATTTAAATCTTCGCTACAAAATGCCACAGTTTCTGCTAATGTAATAATTTCCCATTCCATATTTACCTTCTATGAAAAAAGGTTCTAATATAATTTAAACTCCATACACGAAGACCAAAAAACGCATCCGTAGCAAATTTTCAAATAAGCGCGGAATCGTTGCCACGGGTATACTGTACAGTTACACCGTCGACCAATCAGTGGAGAATTTGGTTCATTGCCGTATAACGGCCTTTACGTTCCGACTGACTAGATTTACGCTAAAGATTTGTATTTTTGTCAATAGACTTATTATAGGCTTCCTCTTCACTACAATTCCCCTTTTTAATGTTTTACCAAGTCGTGTTTCGTAGTTACAGAATTACGGCTCTATTTTATTGGCGAGTCCAACGTGTTTATAAACGGTATTTCAAACACACCTTCTTTTATAATTTTGACATTGTTGGGAGATACACGTGGTAGCTGGACCAACTGCTTGCTTGTTTGTTCTCTCTCTCTTCGCCCGAATGAAGCAAAATGACTTGAAACGAAAATATTTTATTACAAGATCAATCGATCGAAAGAAAGTTTAAAGCCATAAAATCCTAGCCAGCTGATAATATCATCATTCTGTAAAAGAAATAAAACGTTCGAGAAACTGCACTTTAAAAGTAACCGACATTGTTCCAAATCATGACATTCGCGGCGTGCTTTTATGCCGTTGCGGATTCTATTACCGTCGCTATCGCTTCTGATTCACTCACCAAACCTCCAAAACCACTCTTCAATACAGAAAAGACTGAAATCCCGACTTGCGCCGTTCATTCGTTTGAATTTACGTTTGCAGTCACATTACAGCTTTCGATGTCGTTCGTATTAACTGCTTTGGCGAACACAAATTGGCGTGAATGGTTCATCATTGGATGTAATTTTGTGGGAGATTCTTACAGACTGATCTTTTGTCTGACTTCAATAACGTACCTGAAAAAAAAATGTGAATAAAATTCAATTAAGTTTTCCTTTGAAATAAGTAATTTAGCATCGAATGCACTTTCCACAATTCCATTTTCGTCCACTGTTTTCCAATGCGTCACTGGCACTGGAACAACATATTGGATGGCACCGTTTCGAACCTGAAGTGCATAAAATTTTAATTACCAATCTCATCGTCGCAGGTACACGTTTATTGCTGACGTTAAATACTGACGATAGTTTTCAGAGACTTATACCATCGCATAATTTATTCGCAAGATTTTTTTCGTCGAATAGTATATGCTCTGGTCTTGTATCGTAGAGGTTGGTCTTGTTACATAGTGCTATACAAAAACCAAACAGCGGGGATTTCAATTTTATTTGTTCCTCGCCCTGGTTGCAAAAGAGCAATCGTAAACCTGTATAATATTTTGATTAGGTGAGCATGTATTTGACGCCGTTGCCCGGTGATTTCCATGCACAAACAACAAACTTATCAGAAGGAACGTACACCTTTGGGCCAGATAGTGTTGCATGAACCGTTGTGCTCTGCGATACCGAGATGTCAGAATTAGTTGTGCGATGTTGATAAGTTCCGCAGTCAACGCCGTAGCTTTTGACAACCAGCGCTAGTTCACGATGTCGTCCTAATTCGTATCTTTCGCCCAATAATACAGAAATGCGGCAATTGCCACAATTTCAAGCAGGTTCCTTCAAAAAGTCGAAAAACTTCAACTAACCCGCTTGGGACATCGCTAAGCATTACCATCGTTTTTCGAAGACAAGAGTCTTTCATTCATGGGGACACCACATCCATGGCAAGAGCAAGAAGGCTATGCCCTCTACAGAAATCTATTAACCGTTAGCGTGTAACTTGTGGAGTCTATCTTATTTTTCCTCTACTACATCAGTTACCTCATGCATCCGACCTGCCTCAGTCGTCATGCTCGTTCCATTGCCTCCTTTTGAATTTCTAACGGATAAGCAGCTACTAAAATCCCTGATAAGTTTGTAATCTTGTCCTGTAATCACTCACCTGTTTTGACTTCAGTTCACGCCGTCGCTCAACCCATAATCGAAAGCTAGGCTAGGTCAAAGAGCTGTTCCATGTTTTTCTTCGATCCAGGGTAAAGTATCAGAATCAGACAAAATGGGATCTGGCAACTTGATACCATCTGAAGCGATGAGGATAGTATAACGGCCTTTACGTTCCGACTGACTAGATTTACGCTAAAGATTTGTATTTTTGTCAATAGACTTATTATAGGCTTCCTCTTCACTACAATTCCCCTTTTTAATGTTTTACCAAGTCGTGTTTCGTAGTTACAGAATTACGGCTCTATTTTATTGGCGAGTCCAACGTGTTTATAAACGGTATTTCAAACACACCTTCTTTTATAATTTTGACATTGTTGGGAGATACACGTGGTAGCTGGACCAACTGCTTGCTTGTTTGTTCTCTCTCTCTTCGCCCGAATGAAGCAAAATGACTTGAAACGAAAATATTTTAATACAAGATCAATCGATCGAAAGAAAGTTTAAAGCCATAAAATCCTAGCCAGCTGATAATATCATCATTCTGTAAAAGAAATAAAACGTTCGAGAAACGGCACTTTAAAAGTAACCGACATTGTTCCAAATCATGACATTCGCGGCGTGCTTTTATGCCGTTGCGGATTCTATTACCGTCGCTATCGCTTCTGATTCACTCACCAAACCTCCAAAACCACTCTTCAATACAGAAAAGACTGAAATCCCGACTTGCGCCGTTCATTCGTTTGAATTTACGTTTGCAGTCACATTACAGCTTTCGATGTCGTTCGTATTAACTGCTTTGGCGAACACAAATTGGCGTGAATGGTTCATCATTGGATGTAATTTTGTGGGAGATTCTTACAGACTGATCTCTTGTCTGACTTCAATAACGTACCTGAAAAAAAAATGTGAATAAAATTCAATTAGATTTTCCTTTGAAATAAGTAATTTAGCATCGAATGCACTTTCCACAATTCCGTTTTCGTCCACTGTTTTCCAATGCGTCACTGGCACTGAAACAACATATTGGATGGCACCGTTTCGAACCTGAAGTGCATAAAATTTTAATTACCAATCTCATCGTCGCAGGTACACGTTTATTGCTGACGTTAAATACTGACGATAGTTTTCAGAGACTTATACCATCGCATAATTTATTCGCAAGATTTTTTTCGTCGAATAGTATATGCTCTGGTCTTGTATCGTAGAGGTTGGTCTTGTTACATAGTGCTATACAAAAACCAAACAGCGGGGATTTCAATTTTATTTGTTCCTCGCCCTGGTTGCAAAAGAGCAATCGTAAACCTGTATGATATTTTGATCAGGTGAGAATGTATTTGACGCCGTTGCCCGGTGATTTCCATGCACAAACAACAAACTTATCAGAAGGAACGTACACCTTTGGGCCAGATAGTGTTGCATGAACCGTTGTGCTCTGCGATACCGAGATGTCAGAATTAGTTGTGCGATGTTGATAAGTTCCGCAGTCAACGCCGTAGCTTTTGACAACCAGCGCTAGTTCACGATGTCGTCCTAATTCGTATCTTTCGCCCAATAATACAGAAATGCGGCAATTGCCACAATTTCAAGCAGGTTCCTTCAAAAAGAAGAAAAACTTCAACTAACCCGCTCGGGACATCGCTAAGCATTACCATCGTTTTTCGAAGACAAGAGTCTTTCATTCATGGGGACACCACATCCAAGAGCAAGAAGGCTATGCCCTCTACAGAAATCTATTAACCGTTAGCGTGTAACTTGTGGAGTCTATCTTATTTTTCCTCTACTACATCAGTTACCTCATCCATCCGACCTGCCTCAGTCGTCATGCTCGTTCCATTGCCTCCTTTTGAATTTCTAACGGATAAGCAGCTACTAAAATCCCTTATAAGTTTGTAATCTTGTCCTGATCACTCACCTGTTTTGACTTCAGTTCACGCCGTCGCTCAACCCATAATCGAAAGCTAGGCTAGGCCAAAGGGCTGTTCCATGTTTTTCTTCAATCCAGGGTAAAGTATCAGAATCAGACAAAATCGGATCTGGCAACTTGATACTATCTGAAGCGATAAGGATAGTTTGATATTCCTGTCAGCTCCTGCGGTGACTTTTCCACCACCAGGTTAATCGCCTGCGTTGCATACGTAAGGGCAACCAACTCAGTTTTTGTTTTTTTGTCGTCGCAAGTCCATATATTCTCAAAAAATCTTCAAACTCTCCACATTCCACCGCATTATCTCATACATAGTGTATTGTGACATTGTTATTTTGGATAATTTCAGGTCCATCGATGTGCCGCATTCTGTAATTCTGACGCATTCGTGCGTGACCAACTGTTACCAGGCGACGAAAACTGCAGGTATACGCGTTAACCGGGGCTACTGGTTTATTGCAATATCTTTGGGTACTGCTTGACGTACCGGTGCAAGATGCCTATATATTGCATCGTTTTTGGATGCAGGAACATGGCGAATATCAATAAGGATATTTCAGGTTCCCGAATAGGAAGTGAACGGCGACAGCAGCGTGTCGCAGAAATAACTGAATAACAGCGATGGAAGGCGTGGAATCCAACGGAGCCAAATGTTTACACTTGCGGTAAGCACTTCAGTGGTATCCGTGGTAAGTATCCATGTGTTTGCCAATATTGTTTTTTAATTTTTGAAAGTATCTGAGTTGCTGTCATGTCAAAAAATTTGCAAGAAAATTAATTTTT